GGCTGCATGCGTCGACTTTTACCATCAACCAGCTCTTTACTATCGCAATTGCAATAGTGTAATGATAATGCGATTGCTGACGTGTTTATCGGGAGCAATAAATTTCATTGTGAGCCAAGTCAGACTTTACTTGGAATCGAACTTGGCAACTTTCACGTACAGTGAACATTTATCAAGACTGTTGCGATTGTGACTAACTTAAAACTCGTTACGGAATATAAATGCACCACGTCATAATGAGATTTGTATTGAAACAACTGTTTGGACAGTTAATAAACTCAGGTATTCAAACAAATATAATAGAAAATATATTACATTTATTTTTATTATTATTAATTTATGGCTGTCTATGGGGGAGGCTTATGTCTGCAGTGGACAGATAATGGCTGAAATGGTGATGATTATACTTTGTGTGTGTGTGTGTTTTTTTTTTATTTTATCTCCGTTAACTTATCACTGTTGAACTTATCTTCCCCCATAAGGTGGATTTTTAATAATAATTTAAGGGGGACGCTGCTGCCCATCTCTCGACCATAAGTTTTCTTAGTCGACTCTTACGACACCCATGGAAAAAAAGGGATGGCCTATTCTGTGCCGATACCTACACGACTAACACTTTGTATTACTTATTCTAAATAATATAAAGTACAACAAATTAGAAATAATACTGAAGACATTTTTGCAGCGGAAAATTTTAGACTCAATTGATGAGAAGTGGTAACTGTCGCTTATAGATATCAAGAGGATTTACTAGAGACGGAGATAATCTTAATATATAAAAATCTCCAACCTGAGAGATGGGATGGTTTATATGCTTAAATGAAAAAACGGACCCAATAGATGATTGTAGGGGGAAAATAATATTTGGCGAATCAGCTAGTCCTTTCCTATTATTAATAAAATAAATACGAACGTTTGAAACTATAGACGGACGGATGAATGTTAGCCTTTCACGCAAAAACTGCTGAACGAATTATAATTAAACTTGGTACATTGGTAGGTTATATTCTAATATATATGTACTGATTCACGCCGGTAAAACAGTGGGATATAGCTAGTTAATATGTGTAATAAATGCGAAATTTTGTAACAATTGATGGAAAGATGTTTTTACTCTATTATGTAAAAACTATTAAACGGTTTTGAATGAAATTTGATACATGGGTTAGTTATATCCTAACTTAAAACATAAGATACTTTATATACTTACTGATCCACACGGACAAAGCCGCGGGATACAGTTAGTAACATATAAATTTCTAAAATTAACAGTAAACATGCATCCATTATTCCCAATCGCATTTCAACTTGGAAGTGCCTTGTTACGAAATAGCGTCTGCGCATTTATCGTCGGTACAGTCTGCAACAAAATATTAAACAAAACAGCGGGGCGGGCGATGAAAGAGCGGAATTTACATGCTTTTAGTCATGACCTTAGCCTTTTCCCATTAGTGCTTCCGACGAAATATGTTTTTGTGTTTCATTCTTTCTGAAAGCAGTTATTCACCTCACTAAACACATCATTTATCACATAATCGTATGAAATTTTTGAACATATTTCTAAATAAAATTGTTCTTTTCCGTAGGTAAACGAAATAGGCAAGTAGAGATAGATTTGAAGAAATTAGACAAGGTCGACTAAAATATCATAAACAAAGACTTTTAATAATAATAATAAAAAAAAATAATTATAAAAATCTATTTACCTTCACGCTGGTAGATTCTTTATAGCGTAGGTAAAAAGAAAGAATGATAGCAAATAGTAATCTTTAACATATATCTCTTGTTTCGTATATTTTCAAATCTACTTTAAAATATATATTTCTTGCCAACTGTACTTCGTGATGGAGTTTTTTTAGATCATCTCATGGCCCATATCCGTACGCGAGTGTAGTATGTCTACTATTTATAATTTTTAACGGACATAAGAAGATCAATTTGTCGGTTTTTTGTATGTTACTGCGTTCGGCATTAGGGTTCCAATTTCGAAATACTCTTCTTTAAATTTCAATTATTCCTAATACCTTGATAATGGTATCTAAGTGGAATTATCAATAAATATTAATTATAATTAGAAATAATGTGAGTAAAACTGAACTTATCTCTAAAAGGAATCATTTCCAGTTATCCTAAATATTATTAAAGAAAAATAGTAATATATAAAAATATGAAGATAAGAATCTTCATGACTATAATTCCTAATGGGATAGTCAAAGTTTTTTATCGACTATTACCCCATTTCCGCATTTAGATTTTTTATTTTACTTTTTCTAACTATATCTTATATACTAGATCATAAACCGCCCGTTGCATTCCCACATGAGCAGAAAACATAAATTGCATGCCAGCAAAACCGCAGTTAACAGCTAGTTACATATCTATAATTTATGCATACGGAACCTCAGCGGTGAGGGCCAATTTACCACTTACTTTCTTTGTAGAAGCCGACACAATAACAACAGTCCGATGGGTATAATCACAGTATTCTAAAATAGTCAAAACATGCAATGTATTTTTGTAGCGGTGTTAAATACACGAATTACGATTTATTGCGTACGAAGATTTGTCGTCTTGTGTAATTGTAATTTTCATGTTTTGAGAATAAATTGCGCATGCGTAAATGCATGTATGTGTAAATGAAAAGTTCATCGCCCTTCATTAATTTGAATTTGGAGCGCATTCGAAGTTGAATCGGATGTCAAAATAACATAATGTCATTTGACTAAGTTCCTAGATTAGAAAGACGTAAAAAATTTACTTTTAAATAATATATTTTTTTTTTAAATAATGGCGTAAAGTAAAATTAAAACTTATGTGTAATAATTAATTCTTAGGAATATGTTTAATAAATTTAACTTCCTTTCGGAGCATCATAAATAAGTTTTTTAATTTCACATGAAATAATATTTGTACACATTATATATATAATATTAAATGGCAAATAAGTTAACAGCCTACATGATGGAGAATGATAACCGTTATGTTACTTATAGCCAAATAGTATTAGAGTAATCGAAGAGTAATAGTATGGCGACGTATGGCTTCATACGTAACCACATATAAGAGGCACCAGAAGGCATAACTATGCCTGACGAGCAAAGTGCTCGGCTTCCGTATCTGTTTGTAATCTCTGTAAATAATATCCAACCCTTCTAACCGAAACACAACTATGCAAGCACAGCTGATCGGCAAAAATATGAATGAGCCAGATCATCAAAATAAAAAGAATAATCCGAAAATCACCATAATCGTCTTACACTCATTAAAATGTTTCATTCATTTTTATTCAAGTTCTTTTAAAAAATATAAAATTTTCCACTTTCTTTTTTTACTTTTTATATAGTTATATTACAAAACATAATCAGAACACATTAGTATAAGCAGTATATCCTACTAATCAGTTTCTGCTCCAATAGAATGCATCCCTATATTAATGTGAAATTTAAATTTGTAAGTATTAAAGTTAGATGTTAATTAAAAAAAAATATGGAAGTATTTCACTTTTATGTATAAAAATAAAACAATATTATTAGTAGGTTGCTTCATAATAACATACAATTAAAAATACTTTAAAAGTATTGCATAAGTTTAGAAATATTTTCAGTTCTACGAATAGTAAGAAATCAGCACGACGCGTTATTTTGGTTTCAATTATAACCAAATTTCTACAGCTACTACACAACAAAAGCTATAAATAAATTAAAAGTTGCTACTAACACTCAAGGTCTTTACACAACAATACGAAACTATCAACGAGAACATATTGAAATCAATTATAAAATAATAATATAAAAATTTGCAGCTACTACGATACAGTTAAATACATCTGCGGGACAAGTAACAATCTATTAACGTTAAGTAAATTAATACAGTGAAATTGAAAAACTCCTTTGAGATTTGTTTAGCAATGTAAAAAAAAACATGGACCGAAAAACAAACCAAAAATAGAGCCTCCCACACTCATAGAATTAGATACGACATTAAGAATGGAAGATCCGTAATATTTTTCCATTTCTCAGACTTTGCTTTATTGGAAAAACTCAACCAATTTAATTGAAACTGAACATTTTCCATTTACACTCCATTAAAAGCATGCTAATTATTTTGATTTTAATCTTTATATATGGCTTCACAGAGGCTTTCAAATAGTCACGTAGTAGCGAAATATCACGTAAGTGCCTTATATCGTTCATCAACATCTGATATCGCTAATAGAATATTACTTTGTCCAAAAATCAAAAGGTCAAAATTTTTAATAGACGACTGAAAGTGTGTTTATGACAATGTAGATAACCGCTATCAATTCTCATTCACGCTAACTACTCGTCGTGCAACATGTAGACTAAATACAGGGTCCTATTACCCGAAACTCTGCAACTTTGCGCTGTTCCTATAATGCCGAGTTCACACTTCGCAATTCGCAAACAACATATTTTTTTTACTACTGGAAATGCTAAATAAGCTGACGGCTCGCTAGAAATGACTTCATATATATCTGTGTTGTATACAGCCGTTTCTGAGGATCAAGGTGTTATGCCAAATAGTATCAGATTACACTGATTATTTCTTTGTTATTTTAATCTTGACAAACAAAGTGTGATATTAGCTAAATTAAAAGTAACGATTATAGAGTTGGAGTAAATTTTTACACTATGACGCTCCCTCGATACTGCAATTTTTGGACTATTACAAAGTTTGAGAAAAGTGAAATAGGTACGCAAAATATATTTACGAGTGAAATTTATGAATAGTTGCAGAGTCGTCGAATAGGCCTTATCTCTGTTAGACTGATTCGAAATGGGATTTTTTATTGCAAGTCACGCGATATTTTCAAGATCGAGAACTGCCTTTGATTGTTTTGTTTAAATTGAAATAGTTTCTTTTTTTATGATAATGTATTGAGATGTTTGAATATCAATGATTTAGGAAAATAAAAATACATTTTTCCACTCGAATCAGTATAACAAAACTGGATGTGACGTGTAGCCAGCAAAGGATACCTGAATGGTATCTCTTCTCATTGTGCGTGACACGTCGGTGGGTCCGTCTATTCCTCGTTTGCTGTCGACTGCTTCCGCCATCACCTCGAGGACCTCGGGGTGGTTGGCAACCTGCTGCATTTAAACCAGACCTTGTACGTACGCCACTCAACACGACAGTTGGGCAAACATCTATTTTCTATACAATCTGGACAGACCACCGGACGATAAAGTAATAATAATATTCACCTACAGACTTAAAACAAACATCAGAGCAACTACAATGTTGCTCGTCGTTACCATTTCACAGAACTAAGATGTTAAGGTATCCACACCTAGTAATTTTACTAACAATTTTTTCCAAAATTTAAACCGAAATATGGCCATACAAATACAGCTGCCTAATGACACAGCTGCTTGGTACAATCGACTTTAATAGTAGTGATACCACACGAGACTCGTGTACAGAGTAAAACCTTTCATTCAATGCTCACTCTAGAATATGTACTCGTATTCCAGAAACAAAATTAATATTAATATATGTTGCTATCTTTAAATAATCTAAAATTTTGATGACCACATCACTGTAAGTACAATTATTTTTTTTATGTTGGGAGTACCAATTTTCATATTGAGCACTGATTGAAGTTCGCATTCTGTACGTAACTTATGAGATGATAAAAACGTTGCACTTAAAATTTTGCTTGCGTCAATAAAAAAATAAGGAAGACAAGAAAACAGCTAATAGTTATTTTTATATCAATCCTTTTAATTTGATATATTCTAAGTTTTAGGTCGGAATTCAGTCCTGGAATTCCCCATTCTGCAGTCGAGCATTCCACCAAGCTGTCGCTGTTATTTTCCTCGTTTATTTGTCTGTCTATCAATAATACATTCTAAACTCCTTTCTTAAGTAGGTAGAGAGGGAGAGAGACGAATGCCTCTACATTTACATATATCATTTATTAGTTTCTCCACCCTATCAGATTCTTACACCGTAACTTTTAAAATGGCAAATGTCTAATTGATCTATATATTAATTCTTGTTTTGTCTTTTACTTTACAAGTATTTTCTCAATAGATATGAATGTTACAAAACACACTAATATTATTAATAAGATATGTCAGTTCGCCAAAGTAAGAACTACGCTGGGTCAAATGTCGAGTTTGAAGGAAAGGAGATAAAAAAAGTGTGTAATTGTGTTAACAAACAAATTGAACATAAAATAAAAACATGTTTATAGGCGTTTGTGTAGGGGTGTCATAACTGGCGTTGCGTTATAGGGGGGTTATCAGGCAAGATCAATGACCCCTCGAAGCTGATAACAGACGAGGTGAGGACATTATCAGGTGGCGCAATGCAGGCCCAAAAAATAATGGGCTCGGCGAATCGAGGCGAACGATCGATATGTCGGGAAGTCTGGGCTGACTGGATCGTGACGCGACTTACTGTGAATGCTATGTATAATAATCGGTACTAACTTTAAGAGACTTCTTTATGTTTTTTAAACCTTATATATATTACTTCAAAATCACCACCCTTCTTCACCTTGTCACACCAAACTCACACCAAAACTTTTCACACCATGTTTACTAACAACACGATATTCCTATTGATACCGTAAATGAGTAAGATTAGATGTTTGTAGTTCGATCACGCTTCCATGACTAACAGGATTTTAACAAAATTTGACGCATAGATAAACCATGTTCTACATTAACATATATTATTTTATTATTATACTTTATCTATTTATTTTACTATATTTTATTATAAGTCACGTCGGTAAAGCCGCAGATTAAAGATACTATTAAAATAAGACCAAATTTCAAAATATGTAACACTACTATTACTCAAATATATACAATATTTCAAGCGAATATATTATTTTTAAATTATATATAATTTCAACCTCCCAAATGGAACCCTATTTGATAAGCCTTAGGGATCATAAACTGGACTCCTCTCTACGTGAGACAAGGCCGGACAGATGACGAGCGAGAGATCGTACATAATTGGAAGTCAACGCACTATTTGTGCTAGCACTAAACCTACGTCTATAAAGAACGGTGGGAACTCTTACGTAGGATAATTTCAGGATGTAGAAATTTATACATTTATTGCCAAGTAGAGAGATTTTTATAAGGGGCATATATACAGATCAAACTACTTTATTACTTTGTCATAATAACATTAAAAGTATATTGACCACAAAGTACTTACGTAGTATATTAGACTTACTAAACGAATTAATTACCAATCAAACCTTTAGAAAGTATAAATATCTTATACATGATACGCAACCAGATGCCATGTGTCTACATCACATACATATGTATGATGAAAAATATTCATTTACAGATATGCATCTATATCTCAATATCATAAATATGAAGTCAATGTTAGTTCTTGGCATCTTAACGGCTCAATTAATCGTCATAAAGTAAATACGTAGTATTTAATATAGCGAAGAACATAGGTTACTTTTTATTCTAATCAATCTCTACATTTATAAGTTGTCAGCACAACTAGTGAAAGTAGTTTGTAAATGTATAAACAGACATAATAAATAGTCCTATTAATTTACACACACACATTATATATATATATATATATATATATATATATATATATATATATATATATATATATATATATATATATATATATATATTAAATGCATATTTATATATTAATATGAGAAGCAAAAATTTTGTACCTCTTTAAGAAAATTGCGCGGACGGAGGTGTATGAAATTTTGTACACTAGTTTATATAGAGAAGAGGTGCAAGATGCTAATATTTTTTTTTGAAATTGTGCTTAAAAAACACATTAAATAAATTAAAAAAATATTCAACACACTACCATGTATTTGAACCACACACACATATATACTCTTTTGTTTACTCTTAAAGCATGTGGTCAAATTAAGAATAGATTAATATTGTCTTTAATATTATTTGTCTATAGTCTTACTGAATATCAAACATAACCATAATAAATTCGTTTATTACAATATATATTATGATCGAATATCGACCACTGGGCGACCACTAGTATATATAAATATGGACTGACTGATAAATTAATAAAACAAAATACAATACACCAATGCTAAATATGGAAAATTCTAAACGAAACACTATATGAAGTGTCCTAATTTTCAACTTTTATGGAGATATGACACGTGCCCAGTTGTGGTACATTTATGGTTTTTTATCGCACTGTAACGGTATGTGTATATATCTATCTATATAAATAAAAAAATAAAGCTTATCATTGGATAAACTTTAGACCGATTTGGCTATTTTTTTAATGCTTTTAGAATTTAGTTTGATTAAGGATAATGAAGAAAAAAATTCCAAAAAAGAAAATTGAGTAAACTGTCTGTGGAGTCAGCTTATATAACAAAATATAATATTTGATGATATTCATGCACTTTGTGTCAATAATACACACATTATAAAAGTAAGTACAATATATAAGTAGCAAAAAAGTTTCCCAATAAACGTATAAGACCTCTACTACAAAGCTAACCTACTGAACTTTACCAAAATCATGCCTCAAGTGAGCCGACCTTCAAATTTATAGGTTAAACTTTTGACCTGAACCAAGTTCACTGACTCGACCCCTGAAACGTCTGTCATATTAATGTTGTGACATTCAAGTGAACTTTCAGTCTCGATCTCGTTGCAACTAAATATTATAATACTAATAAAAACGTAAAAGGAAAAACAATTGTGTTTTTATGCAATTTGAAAAAACTAACAAACGGTCGGTCCATCTGATGAAAAATGATAAATCAATTATCACATTGTACCCCTCAAGCGTTGTGAATCCTGAGGGCCTCTTAATAAGCATATTGAACTATTATATATTTTTATAATAGTTCAATATGCTTCTTTGATTAAATTATTTTGTTCTTTTTTTTTCTTTGTATAGAATAATAAAAAATAATTATTATTAATGGACACAGTTTTCCACATATATGTAAATGATCTAATTTGATAAATTTAACAACAATATTCAAATCAAAGAAACAACAAAAAGAAGCGTAATTTTGTTCCACAAAATAATGACCTCAATCGTGACATTTTTTTATGGAACCAACCAAATCTCATTAAATATATATGGTCATGCCCTAATCAAAACTTTTACTTTTTAAATTAAGTGAAAAAGAAATATAGGATAAAGGTTTTTGACCACGCATATCGACTTGACAGCCATTCCAAATTGTATAAAAAAATCAATTCGAAATTGTTCGCAATCAGCAAAGTTTAGAAACTACATTTCATGCGGGAGAAACCAGACAGTGAACATCTGGGGTCGCGTCGGGATTCAATTTGGAAGTTTCTTAAATTGATTTGAACGGGAGTCATAGATCTCATTTGTGTGAAGTATCGTCCGCGCCGTCTGGGGCCCTTACATACGACTATTATTGATTCTCTTTCTTTAAAGTCCTATCTCTAAAGACGTGTTATCCGCGGACAAACATTATAGTTTGTTTCGATAAAACTTAATAAAACTGTAACCAAGTTTTGTTGAAATTATCGCAAAAGTACTTTCTAAATAAACATAGTAACAAAGGTAAACATTCGATCAATTACTCGATTTGTACTTCTACTATCAGACATGAAAAGTCCGTATTAAAGTCGGTAAAATTATTTGTTTACATTTACGTTTATATCCATTGAAATAGACTATACCCTTGTAAGCTGTACTTGCACAATACGTGTTTTTATTATACAAACAAACTGAGAGTGCACTTGATGGAAAGTGGTAATAGTCATTTATAAACATGAATAGCACCATGGATATCAAAGAATATACTGAGACGCCCGTTACCATGGGTAGCCATTCCTGAGTACTACAGTGTTAAATTTTTGAACAGTGATAAGTAAGACAGTAATTTCACTGCCATATCTCACTATTCAAGTCAAAACAGTCATGCAAGCCAAGCTACTTCATGGTAGAAACACGAGTAAAACAGAGACATATAAGCGAACGATTTTTGTACGAAATCTCCGTCTGGTATTGCAATTTCAAGCAATTTACTAGTTGTCTGAATAAATTCATTTTACTTTATTTATACTGTATGTGTGCAATAAATTACAATGATTTATAAATATTAAGCAGGCACTTAATTCGGTATAAAGGGAAAAAAATATTTTGAATGCAAAATGCTCTTTAGCTAAATATGTATTAGAATCGGAAATTCCAAATTCTCAAACTATTAGATACCCGACAAGCAAAATTCATATTGCATCAGATTCCCAAAATACCAAATGCCGATACCAAGCGACCCCAAGATTAGATTAATATACATTATACATCCATATCTAGATTTGTAAATATAGAATTTTGTTATACATATACAAGATTTCAAATATGTCGGGTCTCGGATACCAGATGAGTAAATAATATACCCATTTCCTAATATACTGCATTCCTAAACTATCAACGTATCCCGAATATTAAATTGTCGGAATACCAGTTTCTCACGATATACGATTTCATTTCTACAAATTAATTCAAAGATATATTATAAAAGTAAAGCTGGTAATGAAGTTTACTGAATATGTTGTCGCCAAATTTTTTTTTCTTTTTAAATACAATTGAAATAGAAATAAATAATCCTTAATCAAATAGATTTGTTTACAAACTCTTGTAAATCGTTATTTTTTACGATTTTAAATTGATTGCAAAAATATATTGTACTCTATTTTCATTTTGACACTTAATTTTTTTTAAGCATCAAAGACTATGAATCAGAAATTATGTAGTTTAATGACCGTAGAACGTTGGAAGTCCCAAGCAGTTTATATGTTCAACTCCGTATTTCTTTGTAAAAAAAACGTTCAGTTTCCATCATAATATATTCCTTAAATAAGATTTACTCTGTTTCAATATAATTTAATAAAAATATAAACAATTGCGTAAATAATTGACTAGACCATAAAATATTTCGATGTGTTACTAATTTATTTCATTTAGAGAATATTTTAGCGATAATTTCAACATAATTTACCTTTTCATTATTCTATTCTATTCCTTCAAATAAAAAAAGTTAAAAGAATGAGAGCGATTTTTTTTATCTCTGGACTCAACGCCTGTCCAGAAGTTGCCTTCCAATTAAGTGTTAAAAATTTTAGTAGATACAAATAAGTACAGTATATCATTTCATATTCCATTGATGAAATTACTGGCCATTATTTCCTAGTATGATTTTTTTTATTTTCACTCGGCTTTCCGATAAATTTGTTAGATAAATAAATATGATATGGAAATTGCGGTTAACCCATTTATACGGCCCAAGGCTATTTTATTGTTTGCCTATCAATTTATTTCCCTAATAACAACGTTTTATGGTAATGTAAGTTTTATATTTATAATTTCTTCAGTAGTGAAAAAGTGTTTCATCAGTAGGTTGTTGAGTTTAGCACTAAATGGACAATATATTACATTATCACAAAAATTTTTGTGAGTTCATTGAAACTTATTTTCAAAATGGGCAGTAGAAATAAATTGTGGTGTCATTTATTAGATTTAAGGAATAATACGAACACACTTTTGAAAAGGGGGAAACGTACTACACCAAATATTCAGAAATTCGAAATCCCTTACTGATTTCGCACGTAATTCACCCTCCATGAGAGAAGGGTATAAACTTAATATTGTCATATTGGTCACAACTATATGAGTGGATTTTATAAGGGAAAAGTACATAAGCAAGTCGCTCGAATCTAAACTTTTTATTAATATTAAAATGTAAAAATAACATTAGATTATTTATATATTTGATAATATAATAATCTTTTTATAACTGCGAATTAAAATGCTAAAGGAATTATTGTCAAATTGTCAGCAATTTATATATCCTTCATTAATATTAAAATAAACAATAACAGAACAAATTGAATTTGACTAAAACTATATTACAAATAGATAACATGTTTAAATGTTGCCATTACAATATCCAAACTCACTGACCCCAATTATATCATACAATTTTAACTTATATATTATTATGAGAAATAATAAGCGTTCTCGCTTTAAATATCTCGCGCTAATATCTCTTCCATTAATTTAATAAACACCTCATCACGTTCCACCTCGGGCCAAGGTTTCAAAATGGTTACACTTTTTGTACAACGAATTGCACGTAAGCAGAAAAAAAGCTATTCAAAAGAGCCATGTGTCCCGTGTACGTTATGTGCCATTACGACTGTAATTACCAGGTGATAAAGTGTGGTTGGAGTGCGTGTGTGTAACCGACTAACTAAAACCATAATTAAATAAAAACTAAAGATAAATAGGATGAAAATAATCCATCAAATCGTAACCGATGGACGCTGGACAAAACGTTGCCGGTCGGATTAACCGACACTTTTTGTGAGCGCCGGTGAAGGTCGACCTCATTATTTCAATAATTTCAACCGCTCGAGCGATAAAAATTTTTTAATAATGCTTTCTAAAATAGAATTCACATGATCGACTCGGTTCAGCTTCATTTATGTTACTGGCAGTCACAATATCAGTGCATAATTAGGAACAAAATGGGTTCAATGTACTTGTGTTCCGAATTTAAACAGTCGGGGTCCAGATTCAAGATGGCCTCTCCGTTTGACCCTCGTTGCGAAACAGAGCTGGCCAGCGACTGTCCCGATCATTTCGCGAACGTCCAGTGTCCATCGACGACGACCAATTGACACTTGACCCCGGCGACGCTTCTGTCGCGACCTTGGACTCGTAAGTACTGGAAAATTATTAGATTCGACGCGTGAAGTCAGCATTTAATTGGAATTTTGGTGAGGAGCCAGTACTTGCGGTCATGCAGGTGATACCTATATGATTAGTTCAGGCATCAGTGTTAGCAGCGATTTTTACAATATAAAGGCCAGTTTTATTCGGTTTACCTTGAGGCTGTTGTTGTGGAATGTACGGTGTGAGGAGTCGTGTCCGCTTTTTCTCATATCCCTTTTGTGTGATGTCGCCTGCAACAAAAACAAAGATTTGTTAAGTACATTTCAATATTAATAAGAAGACGATTTTTTCATTCAATGTACCTATGTAATACAATTATGGATAGCCCAGATAGAAGAACGATAAATATATGATTCAGTAAAAGCACGTACAGAGGTCTACATTGTTTACTATTCCTAGACAAATAAGTGCAAGTAAAAACCCAAACCTTCTGTAATCGTAAAGGGCTGTGTAAATAAAGGACTTTTGCCTGAGATATATCTTACACGAAGACTTACACGTTGACACATTGTACGACACTCATTGCTATATATCGTTACACAAAAAATATCTTAAGATTTTAAACAAAATATAATGTGGTGATCGTTGTATGTTATCTCTCATACGTTGGCATCCCTAAGAACTACTGTGATATTCATACCTCGGTAGCGTGTAATTTTACTGCTATCTCACTCTTCAAACCGAATCAGTCATGTATGCATAGCTGTATCACGACAGAAATACGAATGGGACAGAGGTACCCATGCTTTTATACAAAGTAAGAAATTGGCGAAGCATGATGAATCGATTTAAATATTTGCCATAAATACGAAATATCGGCTGATATTTTTTATTACACATTATAACTTATAACATATAATAAAAAAAATCGGTACATTTAACTACAAAATTCACTGGCTGGTTAGAAACGAGTGAATAATTTGAATACGCTCTATTTACAGCGCCGCTTTTTAGCATTCGATTGGATACATCTTGGAGTTCTTTGTAACCACATCAATAGCACAGTACAATTCAATGCTCTTTTTAGACATTGGCTACCAACGAATAATTCTTACTAATATTATATGTTATAAAAACGCTTAATAATATTTAACAATATATAGTTCATTATGTAAATGTGATATTAAGCCAATTTATATTTTGTGTAGACTGCAATAAACGTGTTATAATCATCTAACAGTTCAAACAATCACTCATTCACTATGATTATCTCTAATCGTCTTATTTCAGTCAGATTATCGCTCAAGTGTCAACCTTACTATTCTAATTATTAGAAGTAAAAGTATTAATAAACCGGTAGCGATGGTAATTAATGTTTCATATGCCTTTCATTAAGACTTGTAATTAATTCAACTTGAAGATAAGAACATGGATCTCTGAATAGGAAAATGGACATTCAAGTTCGATTAAACGTGCACCGCGTTCAAAAGAATCAGACTCAGATCCTAGAGATTGATATTGATATTGCCTGTGTCCCACTGGGGCAGATAGAAACGATGGAACGCCAAATACTAAGGTTAGACTTTTTCGCTTAATCCACATTTATCAATCTATTTATATACACACTCGCAGATAGATAGATAGATACTCTTTATTGTTTCCTCCAAAAGATTACAATAGTAAACTTATTATATATATAAACAATTGCAAGGAATAATCACAATGAGAAAACAATGGGCGACCTTATCGCTAAGAGCGATCTCTTCTCATCTCAGATAATGGGTACTTTTAATTTGGCCCTTCTTCAGCACGTCGCCTATTTGGTCAATATACGTCTATCTAGAGCGCAATTTTTATTAATGTAGTGATATTTAACGAAAATATTTAGACTAAAAACAAGCCAAGTGCAGATTGAATCAACCACATCGAGAACAACTTTGATAAAAGGGGTAAAAATTAATTTAAAGCGAAATATTAGTAATATCAAATTGTTCCACAAAGTAACAGATACTTTCTGTTTTAAGAAAATGTAGGAAAGGGAATGTAGGAAAAACGAAGGCAGTGAAACTCTGTCCAAAGTAAAAACATTTACCGAACTCTGTTTGAAATTGGTATTCCTTTTATTGATAACATAAAGAAAATACAGACAAATTCTTTTTAGAAACCCCCATAAATTACTGCAAGTATTATTTTAAAAACTTTACTTCCGTTTCAGCTTTTCTTGGTCTTCTTCTTTTGATTTTCAAACAAACCGACAAAAAAGAATCGACAAAGAAAAACGAAAAGTTTTTATAATGACCTTATGTTTAATTTTCTGAAGTTAAAGGTGCATTTATTTAAATATCTCGTCCACCCTATTTTAAATGAGTGGAGAGTTGACTGTGATACCTATAGTTGCCCCATCGATGGTCGACGATCACTTCCTTCTTTCAATAGCAGTCTCAGATCGTCTATCAAGCTTTATGCCCTCTAATATTGCAATATACTCCAAACAAAACAAATAAAACGCTATGAATTATATAATTCTATGCCGTATAGTTTGATTATAATGGTTTAGGATTATGATCTATGAAAAATCTTCAATTGTGGCAAAACCAGATATTTCAATACTAAACTACTAAACGGTTTCGATAACATTTCTATAGGACCGATCTGTAAGTATATCTTTTCAGATAGAAAAAAAGAATTTCCCAAATCAATTTATAACATATTTATGAGATAACAAACATAAAAAAAAATACAAACGATTTAAAACTGGAATGGACTCTTTTATGAGGTCGAGTGAAATGACAACACGTGGGCATAGGCGTCTGTGTTAATTGATAACATAATACAAGATGACCATAATTATAATAAGGGCACAGTTCATTTCTGCCAAGTTTACAAGTTTTGAGTCATATAAATTACGTACGCAGCTGACAAACGAAGAACAGATGTTATTTATCAGTATTGCAATAATAACTATAAACAATTGCATCTTGTTATATGTACTCAAAATAGATACTAGTATTTAGATATATCTATTTATTTACTTCATGGAAGATTAACGGTCTCATTTTAAGTTATGAACCTAAACGGACTAACTCGAGTACTATATCTAATGGGTACTCAGTCGCTTATTCGAAAACTCGATATAACACGGATACACTTTGCAAGTACAAACAGTACTTGTGTATTTATCATGAATTTTTATGTTTCTTTTTTAGTACTTCATATATAATTATTGAACACTTATTAGCTTCATAAAAGTAAATTTTAGAAATCAATAAAAAATCACCCAAGACTGATAAAAATTTGCATATACATACAAGTAAGTACTCCTACTCGAGTACTGATAAAATATTTAGATGCACATACACGTACTCGAGTATTTGTCCGAGTCCCTGAAGACTCGAGTCAGGATTGAGTTATTTTTAATGGGTACCATACTACTTACTGCAGACTTAGTTACATTAAAAATATAGCATCAAATGTCTGTGTTTACGATTAAAAACTTGAGATTTGAATTTGTCATCCACGTCTATTAATTACTAATTACAGGTAGCAACTACAGATATAATGAAAAATTCAATAGGTAAAAAGGGAGACTGGAAGTAGAATACATTTAATCAAACTGTGTATCCATTTATTACCATCCATAGTGACGTTTGTAGTCAAACGCGCCGAAGTTAATAGAAATTTTATAAAAATTTATAACGACACCAAGTTTCATGTTTGCTCCAGTACGCTATATAGTTATTTTATTTAAAAAATTCGTTATAAAATTTTACTTCTTGACGAAATATAACTTGTATGAATGTAAATTATAAAAGAGACAGCGACAAGAAGGCGGTATACGAATAGAGTTAACAACTTCCTACAAGTTTAGAAACTTGTATATCTGCAATTTGACTAGCCTAACTGTGTAAGTTATTCTAGTTAAATAGTTAGTTAGTAGTTATGAAGAAAATGTGGTTGCAAAGGCGGACACATCTAATAAAACTTAATAACTAAATAAACAGACAAATAAAACACTGTACAGCGCGCTTTGTTTTCCACTGCTGACCATAGGCCTCCCCCATAAGCTGTTATAAAGAACAGCTTAGTCAATACTTAGTAATAATTATAAGAAAATTTATAATAATTTTTTATTCAAGTACAACTGAGAAAGCCGAACATAAAACTTGGAATGAAATTGTAAACATAGCCTCGTGCGTTAACCAGCCCTGAGGATTAAGGTTCCATGCATCTATGCTATATAATTACAACTAATAATATTTATTTTACTTTATTGACTATATTACTCAAAATGGTCCAAAAGGCGGGTTAATGCTATAAAACATTCTCTCTCAATCAAGCTTTGGAAAAACAGAAATGTAAACATGCGTTGAAAACTAGTGAAAATTGTTGTGGGTATTTATTAGTTACACAAGTATATGTATTGTCACACAAAATATAATACATACAATGAAGAACTACTACACGTTATGAACATATAAATATACTTACATAAATACAAATATGTATTATAAAAACATACATAGACGATAAGACATTATAATATAAATAAAGTAACAACAGTAATCAAAGGTAAAAATATGAAAATTTTGTTCTACAAAAAGAACTTCAATCTAAGAATTCTAAACACATGCCTATGAATGTTTTTATCATATTAATTTTAAAAAGCAGTCGAATTGAGAATCCCGCCATTTCATGTTTTCTTATGATGTTTAAAAATAGCAAACAAGTTGAGTCCTACCTGATGGAAAGTGGTAATCGTCGCCTATAGACATGAACAGCACCATGGAAACCACAGAATGCAATTTGCTTACCATTCCTGAGGAATATGGTATCATGCCTCTATACCCTATAATTTCATTGCCACTTCATACTTCAAGTTGAAAAGAAGGCCCATCAAATCCGGCCAATGGTAGGCGTCAACCGCTTATCATAAGGCGTAGCCCGTGAATGCAGTGTTTACTATTCACAAATTAGTCAACAATATTATTCGTTTGTTCCACATGCACGCTGATAACATGAGATAAGACTTCTAAGAATGCGTTCGCTATCATTACACACATTTATTTATTTTTTCATTTAATATGGGCTAACAAAAAATTTTTATATCTGTTTTACATTATGTATTTATTTAATACAATGTAGTAATTGAAATTATAAACCACGACCCGACACGGCACAGGTTTGAGTGACATATGTTTTTTATATATTCAACGCCACTTTCAGGTTCACTTCACTTCAATCTGGAACCAACCATATAAATTCACAGAATTTCATTAAAATCGGTTGGGCG